TTTATTGATTTTTTACAGAGAGGAGGGGAGAGGGATAGAGAGTTAGAAACATCGATCAGCCACCTCCTGCACACCTCCTACTGGGGATGTGCCTGCAACCAAGATACATGCCCTTGACCGGAATCGAACCTGGGACCCTTCAGTCCGCAGGCTGACGCTCTATCCACTGAGCCAAACCAGCCAGGGCCATCATGGCCCTTGATTGCATTATTTTCTCTTGTGCTTGATTTACTCTCAGGTTAGCACAGTAATGTGCTGTACAGGCCTATGAGCAATAGGCTGCATCATACAGCCTAGGCATGCAGTAGGCTGCACCATCTAGGTTTGTGTACAGGCACCCTAAGATGTTTGCATAACAGTACAACCACCTAACATTTCTCAGAAGTCTCCTTGTCCTTCAGCAGTGTGTGACTGCATTTAAGGTTTTTCTATGTTTTCACTATCTATTTATATAAAAACCCTGGGTGTAGTGCGTCACGACCGAGGCTCAACCAACCGGAAGGAAGTCAGTCCTGAAGGGGTCGTCTTGGCAACGGCTGTGCCCTCCTCGAGCTGTTTCCTGGAGCTGTTTCCCTTGAGGGCAAGGTTTGAGACAGGAACCGGCCTTCAAAGCATGGACACGACCAATCAGTTGACCGCCTGACTGGTCACTATGATGCACACTGACTACCAAGGGGAAAATGCTCAACACAGGAGCTGCCAACCTGCAGTGGCTTAGCAGCAGCGATTCTCGGGTGGGGCACCCCGAAACCAGAGAGGAGGGAGCCCGATTCCTTGCGGGGCTGCGCGATTCCACCTTCAGCCATGGGTTATGTTGTTGTGGGGCAATGTCACCCCGAATCTGGTTTACTGCACACATGCGTCTGCATTCCACACCTTGTACCACAGCAACTTTGCAGAGTGCCCTCTCGCACTCTGGGACCCCTCAGAGGATGCCTCAGGGGAGAGCCGGTTTCAGTCCCATCCCCACAGGCCAGGCTGAGTGATCCCACCTGCCAGAGGGAACCCAGCTCACTCCACAGATGCCGTTCGAGCAACAGTGCCACCCCAGGTGCAGCCAGCTGGGGAGGGACTGCAGGAGGTTGGCTCCAGGGCATGTCTGGCCCATCTGGCTCAGTCTCACCCCGCCAGCCACCTTCTAATTAATTTCCTTTCAATGTGCACAAATCCGTGCACCGGGTCACTAGTTATAAATATAATGCAGGTAATGGTTTTATAAATTATTCACTGGCTTTTCCCTTTTGCTGTTCTGTGTTTGAAATCATTCGCTCAGTGGACACTTATTGAACACCTACTGTGAGCCTGGCACTATTCCAGGCAGGTAGCAAAACAGACACTCATCCTGGCTCCTGTGGAGCGCCCCTGCCCCTGCCAGTGGAGGATTCAGATTATTCAAAGGCAACAACAGGTGTTCCAGGCAGAAGGTGCAGCAGGGCACAGGCACTGGACTGAGAGAGCACCCATGGTAAGTTCAAATAGCAGCAAAGAAACGAGAGTCAGCCCCGCTGGCATAGCTCAGTGGTTGAGCATCGACCTATGAACCAGGAGGTCATGGTTCAATTCCCGGTCAGGGCACATGGCCGGTTTGTGGGCTCAATTCTCAGTGTGTGGCATGTAGGAGGCAGCCAATCAATGATTCTCTCTCATCATTGGTGTTTCTATCTCTCTCTCCCTTTCCCTTCCTCTCTGAAATCAATTTTAAAAATATATTTTAAAAAACAACAGAAGAGCTGCATTTTTCTGAACATCCAAGTTCAGGGTTAGTAGCATTTGGGACTTTGCTACACAAACAATTTGATGAGCATCCTTACACACATCTTTATAGTCTTTA